TGATCAATTTTACACATCATAATCAGCCTCTCATCTATGTCACATAATAATAAGTGTTCGCTTTGTCCGGTTTTGTTGCAGCATGAACCAATTATAATAGATGTGGATATTAATATTTAATATTAGCCTCTTATTTATGTTACATAATAAAATGTTCATTTTGTCTGCCCCAATATGAGCTTAAACTTTTTCATTGCTTATTATTATGTGGTCAATGATCATATGTGTGGAGTGGAGGTGTTGTGAAGCGATATACGTGCGTGATATTTTAAGACGCAATATTTGTTGTATATATATGGGGTGTTAGAAAACTGTCCACAACACGTGTCATCATGTGATGCCGTTACATCATCAATAGTTACTGTTGGATTTCTCTTTGCAGTTTACATATCTACGACATATACAATCGCTCGACTATCAAACATGTGACAGAAATAGCATTTGTGCATTGTTGTAGAATCAATGCGAGTTCATTTTTTGAAAAAGCGAATTAGTCATAAATAATATCTATAAATTATCTACAAACTTTTCTCATATTCTGCGAGGCATTATTAGAGGAACGGCCGATTTTATTTCGATAAGATTAAATCAACGGTTATCTGAACAGACTACGAATAGTGGTCTCTTCCCTGCATGCACATTTTGAATATTACAGCCGTCATGCTTTTAACTAACAGGGGAACTTATCAGCACGAACAGTTGATCACTTCTAAGGAAAGATTGATTGAGATTTATTCGTTTATTATTATGATTGCTGTTTTGCAATCTGTGCAGATAGCTTACCTAGTTCATTTCAATATCCAAGTATTGGACATCAGTTCCTCTAATCACCACGTGATCATATGTCCCCATTGGAGATTCCCAATCATCAAAACTGAACTTCGTTTCCATGACATCCGTTGCCGTCAGTTGACCTTTTAGACTCGTACTAACAAATGGTGAGCAAAATGTCTTATTACGTAGTAAAGAGAAGAGCAACACCTACTTCTCATATAACTTGGCCAACGTTTGTCGTTTTTGTTGAGTTATTGTAATCCATAACAGTAATGTCCTCTTGCGAAGATTAGTTACAGTTTGTTGTTCATCCACAGTTAACGATAGCCCGTTGACAATATGTTCGCTCTCAGTCATTCTCGATAACAGCCAGATTATAAATTACCAAGATCGCTACTGCGTCATGGAGATTTCGGTGTCGCACTACAGTTCCTAATTAGGGATTCATGAGAAATTGCAAATTATCTCTGAGCAGCAGTAAATTGTTATGGGCTTTCCGTTGCTCTAGAACGCTCGATTGTAGTGTCATATAGTTTAGAATTTATGGTTGGATGCGATTCCTAATACCAACTTGTGTCGATCTATGATTATGTAAAATGCTCCAAGTAAATTATGGGTCCTGGTTACGAAGACAGATGTAAATTCCGTGTTTCATTCAAACTGGTCTTTATTTAAATAAAACTACGGAAGTGACGGCAAAAACCACGGTATTTAGAGACAAAACTTTGCGATGCTGGTTGACTTAACAAGCTCGAAAAACGGCGAATTTTATAAAAACCAGCGACGTAAAATTAAACTCAAGAGACGATTGAATTGATAACATAAGGTAGACAGGGAAAATTTGCCAAAATTACAGATTTTATATGGATCAAAATTAAGACGATTTATAGCCATCACAATCATACTTTATTAAGTAAAAGCACTTTTCAACTATATAC